TTTTGTTAAGTATTATGTAAACAGTGTCCTTTAGTAGCTGTTTAAACAGCTAGTACATATATCACCACAAAAAGCACTCTGAAGGTGTTTTGGTTAAAATTTAATGTATAATAAATGTAATTTGTTGATCAAAATTCATAGCATGAATCCTTCATAATTCAAAAATTTATTTTTAATTCAGAGCTCATTTTTTACTGATTTTTTTCATTCCTTCATCAACAATTGGAGAGGAAAAAAGTCAAGGAGAATTAAAACACAGATGTGTTTGAAATAAAGACATTGTAATAAATTGTTTGTTTCCCAGTTCCCTGACCAAGCCTTAATTAAATGAGCTAAACCTTTAAATTTTTCTTTCATTTTGTACTTTGCAGGAGAAAACAATTCTGGTTTCATGATTAGAAATCCTTGATTAATGTTTTTTCCGTCTTTGAGAAAACACATAATCCTTATACATACCCGTTAATCAGATTTGACAGTGATTTCTCTGAGGAATCATGCTTGCCAATTGTAATCCACCCTTTTGGAAAAAGAAGTGAACTTTGTTTCTCTTAGGTTTGTTTATTGTTTAAATTTATTTAAATAAAATAAAATGTTTTCCCTACATACCTACCCTATTTTTTCCAGATTGGAATAGGAAGCACACATTTACTTTATATAGGCCCTAAAGATTAAGATAATATATTTGAAGTAGTGAATCATTATTAAAAAGAAAAAAAGGAAGAAAAAAAAGAAGGCATTTGATATTTCAAAAGTAAATATTTACTTGTATTATATCCACTGTTCTTGACCTGTTAACCATCAAAACACTCAATTATGAAAACTGTAGTGTTTGCACAAAATGCGATAAATCTGTAATTAATTAAGAGTTTTTGGAAGAATTTGAGGTTTTATTTTTTCAATGCTTAAAGCCTTTTAAGGATAATTTTACACAATAAGATCCTGGCTCTTCAGTTTATTCATTTAACATTTGTTTGAATGTAAAGTTTGAGTTTGACTACCTTTATCAGTGTTCTCCTCAGGTACTGATATCATTGGACTGATTTTTTTTCTAATGAAAGAAATTAAATTCTTTTATTATACAAATACGTTATTTCAATTTCGGAATGAAACCTCAGGTGCTCTGTGTTACCTTAGTTATTACAAAAACAAGAAGAGTGTTTTCCATGGATGTCAAAAATAGAACAATAAATCAGTTGTCTCACTTACATACTTAAATTACAAAATTATGATGTTTTATTATATAGACCTTAGAATATATTTTCTATAGAAGTTATAAGTTATATAAATATATAAAGGATGACTGCACTTAACGCCTGTTTTTGGGTCTTTTTTGGTTGCTTCCGTTGCTTTTATATCTAAACCTTATCTCACTTTTGTATGTTTATGAAAGAATATTGTCAATTTGGAACCACATTTATATCTTAACATGATTTTAGACTGTAATACAATAAAATGATTTAATGTTTTTTGTCCTTACTGCTTTCCAAATATAGTGAATTTACACTTACCTGCCCTTGATTGAACATCAGATATGCATGAGAGGTGGAGCTAACATTGTAAGAGTGGGTCTAAAATTAGACTTGATAAATAACAATGACATGTTTGGAAAAGCGAACGTGATCACTCTTTCCAATCTCCCTCTTTATTCTGTATGGCACAAATACACTTCTGACAAAGGTTTCAAAACGAAATTAACAATATGAGTACGTCAATGTGATTAAAGCAGATTTCATATCAATGCCAGATGACTTAACGTGTTCGAACACAATGTCCCAGTTAGCACAAAACATGCTACCTTACAAGTCACGTGACGGAATTAAGTATTCACAAAGTTACCTGAGGTAGAAATCACGTGGTGAATTATAATATTCAACATGTCACAGTCCTTGGTTACAACACAGAGAGCGAATGTAAGAAGAATCAGTTTTTTTCTCTTTTTAACCATGAGCGCATGTTTGTCTATTAATCCCCTTTTGACACAGTATTATTTATGCAAATATACAACTACTGTTAAACGTAGAACAATAGACAAACATGCGCTGACTATGTATAAAGTCAGTAAAAAAGTGGGCGTCCTCATTATCGAACGAAGATTCAAGAAATTGTGATGACCCCTGCCTTTGAAAACAGATTCGAACTTCGTAAATACACACTTTTATTAAACGTAATTACATAAAGTTGTAGATTGGATGTTGACCATTCATGCAATGAAAAGAAAAATGCTTGTTTTGAAAGTTTATTTTGTCGCAAATTCCGCATGTCCTTAAGTGCAGTCATCCTTTACTTTTTTTCTGATTTACAGCTGCAATTAAATGGTTTCCTGTAATGAGTACTCTTTGTAAATTTAAATGCGGAATGTATTTTCCTGTGATATTTTCAGTGCGTTTGTTTTATAAGTTTTGCTTTGAAGTTAGAAAACACCTGGGCTAGCTTCAGGACTTTACCTCTGTCCTCACAATTATCAAACAGGTCTACATAGCTAAGGAGGAATTCAGTCTATCAGAGTAAAGAAAATCATCCATATATAAAATTACATCAACTGAATATTTCTCCTTTATTTATCATAATACCACTTCCCTTTTTCAATCCATTAACAATTTATTAACTACATGTAGTAATTGTAGTTATAAGAACAGATTTTCACGGACAATCTGTCTGAAAGATTTCTTAAGCAGTGAGCTAGCTGTTCCGTTAATGAAACATACCATATGTCATAAAGATCAACAATATAATATTTTATGTACTTAAACTTACTTTACATGATTATTTATACAGATATTATATAAACAAAAAAATGCCTTTCCTTGTTTGTTAATCTGAGATTATGGTTGCAACCTAATTGCAGAAAAAATTTACGTACCCTAGCTAGCTGCTTAGGTTTCATATTTTTTCAACAATAATTGCAACCATTAATATATATTTACAAAAAAAGAAAGCATTTTATTGATTAAATTAAATGTTTTCAAATTTCTAATAGCATAGACTTTGTTCTTAAATATCTTTGCAGCTTGAGTATTTGAATCCACACTTTTCAAAAGTTATGTCCCTTGGCTTCCCTCTTTGGGGAAAACCCATAGAATCCCCACAATGTAACCTCTGTAGTTTTCTGGTTTGTAACTTTGTCATTTGACTGGAAAATAACTTTGCATCTCGTATATTGATTGCCCCAAGATGGGGCTACAAATACTTTGAAAGAAAAAAATTAAACAGCTGATTTATCAGAGCAAGCCCAGATGTTTGGTATGTAGCATAAAGAGGAGAAATGTAGGTTCTTTAATTCCCTTTTAACCTTTTGTTTGACCCTGCAAAGGGACACAACTTTTACAAAGTGTTAATTGGACTATTGGTAAAGATATATCTGTTTAGTTTTGCTTACTGTCACCTTACTTAGAATTTTTTTCTGCTTAACTTCATGTGTCAGTAAACCATGATGAGATGTTATCAATTCCATGTTTATGATATATTTGTATCATTAATTAGTCACCTTGTTAGCCACTTATGATATGAATTATGTCATTTATAAATAGTTTGCAGTTTCATCTACTACTGATCCAATGAAAAAAATATATCAGTTATGAATACAGGAGTAATCCCAGAGCCAGTATCTTAAATATTATCATTAATTTAGTGAATTTCATACAGATTTTGTATCATATGTGGTTATGACATTCTTTGCAATGTGCATGACCATGCATACTGTCATGAGCTAATTAAATTAGGTGTGTTATATTTGAAGTGATGACTTACTCCCTGAGTGAATTGATATCTGGATAGATGGAGAAACACATGTACAAATATCTAATTTAAATTGTTCTAATTAGAGTAACACTCACACACCCAAAACAAAGCTTTTTCAAGTTCTAGAATTTGCCAATCTTTCGTCATGCTTTCCATAATTAACATTGTGTGTACGTTTATCCCTAAGAGCTTAGGAGGATAGGCTATAAGAGGATATATTGCATAATAATCCCTGGAGACAATCACCCTGTGATCGAAGGTCGTATAAGTCATCTTGGTCCCAGTCAAACAGTGTATTAACAACACCAGAAAATGTAGTCCCATGCAATTTCAGTCATACATCTACAAAAAATAATTTGAAAGGTTCACAAGAATGCAAAAAAGTTCATTTTTACATAATTTATAATCAAGGATTATTATGATGCAGTTACTTGATGTGTATGTCATATACTTTGATAGTTTATCAAAATAATACACAAATTAACTAAGACTGCATGATTAACTAATCATTATATACTGATAATCAACATTATTATGCTATATTAAATGAAAGAATTGTACATTTCATTTTGGTTTTCATTTTTTATTCGTTTTACCTACTACATGTATGTGAAATTATACACAAAAATTCAAAGATAGCTACTTGAGTTTGACCTACTATTATATTCCTTATAATGTTTACCAGGGAATTTTAATGCATTATATATTTCAGTAAGACCCAAGACACTTGACAGCATTGTTAGAGTATAGAATGTTCTAATTTAAGTCTCTCTCTCACTCCACTTTAACTGTCTTGATATTTCAAGGACATGTTTCCTTTTTGGTATTTATGTTCCACATACTATGTCTTTTTTGGGATGGGCATGTGTCTCATAATTTTTTTTTTTATCTACGGGTCTAATTTCTGTAAAGAATAGGGTAAAAATAGCATCATGTCTGCTTTATCCCAGGATATATACATCGGATTTAGAAGGAATCTATGGTAGTGTGATTTTTATCTCATTCTTTTCCAAAAATAATCTGTTATCAATTTTTTTTTTAATATGTGAAATATATGCCATCTTGTTACACATTAACTGCATTTTGAACAGCACAGTTTTTAAACAGATAAAAATTATTAAATAGTTCTGAAAGAATTATTTAAATTTATGACCAACTGTGACGAAAAACATAGATTAAAGATGACATTTCTAAATGTGTTGTACATTTTTTTTTTCAATATTATCATCCATAAACTGATATATTTTTATTGGGCATTTTAGGTCTTGTCCATAAATTAGGCAACCATAATGAAGACTTTGGAATCACAGACAGCATGACCATTAAAGATGACATCCTGATTTCCTCAGCGTTCTGTCTCGATACAGGACTAGGATATATTAATGGTAAAACATGCTTGCAGGAATATGTCCATAGAATATTTTTCTTATAATTATGAGTCATTTTCTGTTGTACAAAAAATAATAATACCTATAACCCTTTGGCTTAATCTAGACTGATACTTGTTCAACTAAACAGACAGGGATGGTTTGCTATGTAGACAGCATTAACAGTATCTTCGTGGTATTTGGCACACATATTTATTTCTTTGTCGATTATCATAACAACCAGGGTCATATGTACCATTCATACAGAAGAAACTGACATCCAATTTTGTTCCCATCCAGAAAAAAACTACAGCATTAATGGCTGACATAACAGCCATCCTCAGATATCTTAATGTCACATTCCACATCTTAGAGGTACAAGGAGTCATTTCACACAGGATGCATTACATAGTGTGTCTTTTGCTTCAGTTTTTTAAAGGCCAAATTGTTGATTCCTGCCCCATTCAGTGTAATTTTCAGCTGGTTGGAAAAATGTATCTTAACCTTGTCAAGAGGAGTGAATTCAAGGTCAAGATGGTATATTTCACTGCATTTGCATGGATATTTTTAAATTTATGAAATTCTACGGGTTGTCAATTAAAAAGTGACAATTACACAGTTTAAACTTTATATTATACTGACCATTGATATCCCATCTAACCAACTTCAGTAAATATCATAGAATTGTTTAAAATTCTGCACCATCTTTTTTATGATAATAAACTACATTCATATTTTAAGTGTGAATTTCCTAAGATCTTTGCATCCCAAAGAGAGAAGCCACCCAATACCCAAGTTTCTAGATTATCTCCCTTGGTGCGCTCTTTCGTTACGGAGGGAAGTTTTGTTTCTGCGTAAGCAGGCAGTTGGGACAGTTATTTATATATTGGATACATTACATCATCCATATACCATCATAACTGATTGTCGGGATGCACTCTCCAAATCGAAAATTACCAAATTAAAGTAAAGGTGCCATTTTTTCTACTAGCAAAAAAATCGCAACAAAAGTAAAATAAAGATCGGAACAAAATAAAGCATCAGTGGATAAGAACTTATCAAATGAGGGAAGAGATATAGATCTCTAATAAATACACACGCATGTGATCATTGTACCTCTGCATTCTGAATGAATCTTTCCCTTATAATAACTTCAAAGAGCCCAATAACTTTTTAGAAAAGGTTTGTACAATAAAAGAATTTTTTTTTCTTACAAAGACTATGACGGCCAGTTCTTTCGTTTTCAAGTATCCTAACTGAAAGTAAATTTTGTAAATATATATAGTAGAGCTTTATAAAACCGTCAAAATTATCATTGCTTATAACATTATCATCTTTCTAAAACATTAAATGAATTGAAAAAGCCATAGCAATCGTTCACTTATTTATGCACGTTTGTATTCATTAACAACCTATCCCACTTCCATGCTGATTTGGATACTTTTGCGCCTCTATCATAGGAGAGTAACAATCTCGAAACTTGCTTATTAGAATGTGTTCTAAAAATTACTGGCAGGCTAAGTGTAAGTAATACTTACTAGCAGTTTACAGTACACAAATTTAAAGAACTGCAAGGTTTTTTTTGTACAAATTGCTGCATAATTGATAAATAAATAAGGATCATATAAAATTGACAACAAAAATTCAAAAAGTGCCAAAACCTAAATTTCTATATGAACTATGATTTATGAACTTGACAAGAGGTTTGACCTCTTTTCAAAAATTTTAACCTGCATGACCACATTTTTAGCACCTGAAGAGACCGTGCTTTCATATTTTTCATGTGCATTACCTGTGAAAAGACCCTTTTTTTTTTTAATTTTGACCCTATGGCCTTGGCCTTGAAGTTTAACCTACATGTACTTGTAAAAATTTTAACCTTGGCCATAACTTTTGCACAAATCATATTAATTATCACATGTACATTACTTGGAAATGTAATTAGATCTTTCAGAATGCAATAGGATTTCTGACCTCATGACCTTGACATGATTTGAAGGCTGATATTTTTGTATCAGAACATTTTATTTCAAAAATATAAAACTTTTTTTCACTATGATTGACAGACAAGACAGTTACAATATGCTACAGATCATTTCACCTTAACCAATAAAACAGGCCCAAAAGCAGGGGACAAAAATTCTCTAAATTTACTAGTAATTTTGATTTTCTATTTTAGTCAGGAACTCTGATGGAGAAAAATACCTAGCCAGTCTAAATGATGGAGAGACAGATAGAATTATGTCTGTCTGTTGTTTTAAAATGGCTGAGGATGCTTTTGCAGTTGTTTCAGCAGGAGTCCAACTAAAGGTCTGGATAAAAACATCAGACTCAAGGTAACTTTGATGTTTATTGTGTATTCTATGAAGAAAAAAAAGAACAAAATAATGATAGACCATCATTCCATTTTGACCTCCATATGATTTTCTGAAAGTGTTCTTCATTTTTGAATGGAAACATTTTATTTTTTTTTTCTCTTGGTATATATGATTTTTAAAAATTTTAATTATGCAACATAATCCTCATTTGGAATGTTCTTGGAATTTGCTGTGAAACTGTGATCATTAATATTATACAGTGAGTATTATTGCCACTGTTGAAGTGCAAATTACAATTCTTTTTTTAACTTCATTAGGCTAAATGCTGCAAATTTTGTATGTCATCTATAAGCAAAAAGTACTTGGATTTTTTGACATCTCCTTAAAATACATGAAAAAATTAAGAACTTGGACCTTGAAGCTAGTAGACATTTATGACAACCATTAATCTTGTTTCATTGCACATTTCTGATCATGCACGTTTACAAATGCTGTCTGACTAAATAAATTCTTGTGTAAATGTTTCAGTGTATTTAGCTTGACTTATGGGTCACCTTTCTGAGGTAGATGTGGCCCCTGGGGCACCACTTCTGCTCATTACACATGGCGCCTGCCTATTTCTTACAATTCGTCACTGACTGGCTTCTTTGTATTTGGGGAGGTGATCAAGTAGTTACATATCATCCTGTGGTATTCCCAATTATATTCTATTAATATACCTTCGTTATATTTTATTGAAATTAAGAGGAGAGTGTAGGCTTGTACGAGGACTTGACGTCACAAGTGCACGATCTTCATTGTTTCTGAGTGATGAGCAGTTTCCTAGTCCTCGAGCCTCGTATGTCTTAGGAACAATAGTACGGATGGAAATTTAAGCTATTTTAACCTCATCAGGAATTTTAATTTTTGTTAATATACTTATATAATGACAGGCTTTGTATTTTCAGTTTGTGTATTCATCTGACCAATATATATAATACATGTATATATATTTAAATGTGTTCAGTGTACTTTAATGTGAAAGCATGACCCTTTCTTTTAAACAGGATGTTCAAACCAATTAGGAAATGATGAATTGGTTTCTATGATAATGATGTTTTCATTCATATGTGTCATACATGATACTTACAGATCAATTTTTTAAAAGGAAGGAATGACATGTGGTTAAAGTGGATATTTTTATTAAACAATTTTGTTTCTGTGTATCATTTTCAGAGCAACTTGAATATTTTAAATGATTTTATGGCAAAACCAGGGAAATATGTTTGTTTCTCTAACATCTGAGTTATTGCATTGCCAAGAAAATAGTAGGTTTTGTTCTGTCTGTTTGTGCAGAAAGTTATAAAATCCATATGTTCAGAGTTACAGATACATATGAAGACACAAAATGCATAATTTAACAGAAATAAAGGTCCAAACATTCTCATTAATATTTTGGTAATATGTAACACCAGTTCTTTTTTCTGATACCATACTAGATATAAAATCCCATATCTGATAGTTAGGTGATATAGACCAATTTTCTATCATTCATTTTCTGCCTTTGAGGGTATTTAAGACAGAAATATTATATCTCTCTCTCATTATTTAGAAAGCAAAATCATGAAAATCTTGAAAAAACACTGAATAGAAAGATTTGCTTGCATGGACCTTACTAGTGTATGCTATAAGTATATGAAGCATTGGATCCTATAATTATGCCATAATAACAATCAAATCAATCAAGAGTTTCCCAAAGGAAAATCTGCCCAATACTTAAAGAATTAAGAAATGCAAAAATCTGCACTCTTGAAATTTTTATATTTCATAATTATAATTTCCTCTTATGTGCTCCTTTGTTTGGATTAATAAAATATTAAAATTACAATTTTTAAATAAACTCAGTTTTACAAAAAATGAGTAACCTTTTCTGGTTAAAGTGCACATTTATACAAATAACTCAATGTACTTTTGCAAAATTTGAAAAAAGTGAATTTCAATCAAGTCAAAACATTAAGATGTCAGACGTACTCTGTCACAAGTTTAAATTTATTCATTAAACATTTATTTTTATTATTGAACAAGCTTTTATATCATTTTGACAGTTGTCAATGCCTCTGTGAATCCCATTCATTCAGAGATATTCTTGAATGGTATCTAGACCCAAGTTTAGGATTAAATATGCTTTGAGTAAAAAAACATTTTAGGGCAATTGGTGAAATTAATTGAATTAAGTGACATTTAATCTCAAGTTCATTTGATATAATTAAGTACTGCACATTATTTATTAAGTTACTGGTATGTATATTTATGATATCAATTTCCTCAAACATTTGTCAAAAAAAAAAAATTTAAATTTATCCATTTTTTTTAAGGAATTTCAAACCTCAGGTCTTTAAATTATTAATCTATTCAGATATCTAATATATTCTCATTTTAGTCAACAGTTCAAGTTTATCTCAATGAGTGCAGTTAAAATGTCGTACATTGCAGTCTGAGTATATTTTTAACATAGCTATTGCAAGTCACTTGGCACTAGGTGGTATTTCATTATGTTAAATATACTATGAAATATAAAATATACTTTGTCACTTCATCTGAGTCAAATTATTCCATCAGCATCAGTGTAAAGAACGTCTGATGAAAAATATAATTCCGTTTACTTGTTTAGAGAATTAATATTAAGAAGTGCACTAGGTGACATTTGGTACATGTGAGTCATGTTTTTGAAATAACATTTAACTGTTTTAATTTAATAGGCACTAGTACCATATTGTGTCCTCTACCAGACTACTGTCAATTTATCTTCCTGGTCTATCCCTAAGAAATAAACTTGGCACATGCAAAACAAGATCAGTCATATTATTCATATTCGGAATATTTTGATCACTTATTAAGTAAATTCATTTGAAGTGTAAATCCCTATAGATGCAATTTTGTACAGATTTATCAATACGTGAATGTATTTTCCCTATAAATCTTCAGCATGTTCAAAATATGAGATTTTTTTTGTGTCTTTTACAGGAACACCCAATAGCAATCACTTAAATAGGACAAGAATTTCTGTCTCCATTTAATTATATAACACAATTGTGGCAACTGTATGTTTTTAAGCTGTAATAAGTGTCAAGCCAGCTTTGCCAGACATTTCCCGAAAATAAAAGATGTTATTTCCACCTCTGGAAATGTATTTTTTTAAAAAAAGGTTTTAAAAAAAGATTGTGTGCATGTCAAATTGTGAACAAGTTAATCTTTTTGAAAAGTAAAAAAATATTGCAAAACGTACATTGCCCAGTGAAGGCCTTAATGTGAATTTCCTTAAATAGAAACCTTATAAATCTGATAAAGTACGGTTTCAGTCGTATTAATTACCTTATTTATTGCATTAAGAGAATGATAAATTGCATTTTTTAGGTGAAGATTATCATTAATGTATCTAATAGCAGGAAATATGGTCCAATTTTTTTTAGACCTCATCATTTAAAGATGTGGTCATGCTGTAAACTTCAGACTTAAATAGACTGATATTTCTAGGAAAGTTGTTAAAAATCTGAATTGACAGATTACTTCCAAGAAATAATATCACATATGATGCATCTGTAGTCCATATAAGGAGAAAAACAACACTGTGCTTGTTTATTGACATTCCTAGTGCATACAAAATAAATTCTTCAAAGAACTTGCAGACAGACAGGTGAAAGGTGTGTTAACAGAAATCCTTTTCAGTTTTAAGCTCTACTGGTCCGAGAGACCAGAAGAGCTTATTTGGTAGTAAGGTGTCCATCCTTTGTCCATCTGTCTAGCTCTCTGTCTGTCCATCTGAAAACAATTTTTCAAAATGCTACTCTTCCTATAGATTTGGTCTGATTTCAGTATAACTTGACACACAGGTAGACTACACTAATAAGATACATAATTCTGTTTATCAGTATTTAGGTGGAAGCGCCTATTATATATGCTTTGATGACCTTCTGTGTCATAGGTCATTTTAGCCAAATGGATGGTACTTAAACTAGGGCCATACAATTTGCTGCTTTAGCTGTTTCCCTTGTATTCGACCCCTGTTGTTATCATGGTTCCGAGTGGTTTTGCCCTGAATACCCCAATTTCCTGTTCACCCTGAGGCGTGGATTCATCCTACATGGTTTTCTTCAAACATATATCTACAGTGTATCATGTAAGCAAAAATTGTTTAATCAGGGGTGTTTTGATTAACATAATTAATGAGCACTCTAATTAAATCCAATAATGAGTTGCCAATCATATCTGATTGTAAGAACAAGATGTGTTTGTGAAACACTGATGCCCCTGTATGGCAGCTTATGGCAAAGGTTAAAGTTTCTCAAATGCAAGTCAAACTCCAAGGTCAAGCCCTAGCATCAACTGTTCAAAAGTTATGGCCAAAGTTAAAGTTTTCAAAAGTAGGTCAAACTCCAAGGTCAAAAAGTCAAAATTGTTGATATCCAAATGAAGGTCTTGTTACAAGGAATATAGCTGTGAAATTTGAAAGCCCTAGTACTAACTGTTCAAAAGTTATGGGGCCATCACCGTAGCTCAGTCAGTAGAGTGCTCGCTCAGTGATTGGAAGGTTGTGTTTGAATCATGGCAGCAACTGACCTAAGTCAATAAAAGATAGAAAGCAACTGTTCCTTCACCAAGCAAATGACACTTTGAAGTGAAAGTTGCGGGTCCTTTGGATGAGACCTTAAAAACCGAGGCCCCGTGTCACAGTAAACGTTGGCACAATAAAGAACTCTCACTGCTCAATGGCCCTGAGTGCCGAGTAAAGGTCTAAATTTGAAGCCCTTCACCAGTATATGGCGACGTCTCTGTATGAATGAAAAATGCATAAACTTTTTATATTTTCAACTTCTTCACAAGAACCACAGGACCAAATTCAGTCAAACTTGCCACAAAGTATCTTTGGGTGACAGGGATTCAAATTTGTTCAAATGAAGGGCAGTGTCCCCTTCCAAGGGGAAAATCAAGAAAAGGCAAAGATAAGGTGGTGTCAAGAATCTTCAAAAACCACTGAGCTA